CCCGGTGGTGGACGGGATTCTGAGGATGGTAGCGACGATGCACACGTAGGACGCCAGGGTCAGCAGAAATGGCCCAAGTGTCCCCAGAGCTCCGCATACAAATGCCACCTTTTGCAGAATCTTGGTGTCACTACAGGACAGCTTTAGAAGGGATGTGAACTCACAGAAGAAATGGTCAATTTCATTGGCATCGCAGAACGTTAATTGGAACTGGAAATTATGCACTATGGTACAGATCACAAAGCTGATTATCCAGGAAGCTGCCACCAGCAAGCAACCCACCTGGCTGTTCATCAGGGCGGTATAACGGAGGGGCTGGCAGATCGCTACGTACCGGTCATAGGACATGGCCGTGAGCAGTACATTTTCTGTAGTGGACAGGACACCAAAGAAATACAATTGCACCAGGCAGCTGTTAACAGAGATGGTCCTGTCCCCCGTCAGGAGACTGGCCAGCAGCCGGGGCAGGATGGTGGAGGAGAAGCAGAGCTCCACACAGGCCAAGTTCTGCAGTAGGAAGTACATGGGAGTGTGCAGCTGCCGATCAGTCAGAACTAGGACAAAGATGAGGATGTTGCCAGCCACAGTCGCAAGGTAGATCATTAGAAACACGAGGAAGAGAAGGGGCTGCAGTTCAGGGTCATTCCCAAATCCTAAGAGGAGGAATTTGGAAACAGGCGTTTGGTTTCTTCCTTCCACTTTCTCCATCGTAGGCGTCTAGAAATATAAACCATGAAATATAGAAGGAGTTCACACAGCCAGCTTCTGCAATGGATCCAACTGGCAGAGATCTGGAGTAGTTAACCTATTACCACCGCATGTCTCCACTAGAACAATGAAGTCCTCAATTAACAGTGGAAGTCTCTCAGGGGGTGTCTACACAGCAAAGTTATTTTGGAATAACAGCTATTATTCCAAAATAGCTATGTGAGCGTCTACACAGCCATTCCGTTATTTTGAACTAATTTTGAAATAACGGATGGATTATTCCGACTTCTGTAAACCTCATCATATATATAGTAGTCCAATGTCTGTGACTCTCTAACGCTGAAATGCTGGCTGTTGCCTCTGGGCGGTGCTGTAGCCTGAGTCACGTCCTTCGCTTCCCGCCGTGGTGATCGGCTGACTTCTGTGCTGCTCAGCCAGGCCATCACGTGGAAGCGAGTGGCGCAAGCGACCGTTTGAGTGCCGCGGTCCCCCGAGTGAGAGGCAGGAGGGGGAGGAGAAGAGAATAAGAGAATCGGAGAGAGAGGCAGGAGGTGGAGGAGAGCTGAGAGAGGGGGGGGAGGCAGTAGGAGAAGGAAAGAGAGAGAGACGTGGAGGAGAGACCTGAAAATCCTGTCTTATGATGGGCTAATTGGCTAGTTCTATGACGAATTACACCTATTCCAAAAGAACTATTTTGAAAAAAGACGTGTGTAGACACTTCACTGCTGCTATTTCAAAATAGTCCCTCACCAGGGCCATTCTAAGTTATTCCCCGTGGGTCTCTAAATCGAGATAGCACATCTACATTAGGGAAGCCTGCCTCGGTTTGAGGTTTCCCTGCAGTGCAGATATGCTATTTAGAAATAAGCTATTTTGGAATAACTATTCCGGAACAGTTTATTCTGAATTAACGGTGCACTGTAGACATAGCCATAGATTTCCCAAGCAGCCAACACACACACACACACACACACACACACACACACACACACACACATATACACTGCCTCCCAGGGTGTCATACATACACACACATACTGGGTCTCACACTGACACAAACACACACACCAAATTCTCTTCCAAATTCACCTCCAACTACATTCTTCCTTGTTTCTGTGACTTCCTGATAGGTGCCTCTATTCTATGTAATTTTGTTCTTTCAAAGTTCAGTGATAGGTGGTTTTGGACGGCTCGATGCCTTTCCAAATTGTACTTCTCGATCACGCTTACAATGAATTCTTCGAGGAGTGAGTTCTAAAAGGCCTAACATGTTCTTCTATCCCCTCCAGTAAATTTTAAAACTTATATCACATTACCTTGATAATCCTGTATAATAATAATACAATTAAGTAATGATTGTGCAATTAAATTAAAGTAACTAAATCAAATACAATTAAATAATTATGCAATAGCAACAATCGTGCAGTTAAAGGGGTTATTGACAGTATGCTGGGAATGTTGAATGGGAAAGGTGAAGGTCAATTTATGTATTTTAAAATGTGAATATATTCCGACTCAGTTTATTCTGAGAGTGGGAGGGGACACACACCTGTTAATCCACACTAGACATAGAGAAAATCATTTTTGCCTTTGCCCCATATGGGGTTTGAGACAGAACCCCATTGACTTCACAGTAATGGCATGAGAGTTTCCTTTAGCTGCAAAGAATTTTGTTTCTGGCTCATGATTATCAGCTCCACCATGTCGGAGCGTGCGAGCCTTAGTCAGATCAATAATGGTTGGGACCCTCTTTTCTCTCCTTACGGGATGAAATGTTATCCAGTAGGGAATTGGGGGGTGATGGGAAGTTGACTTGTGGAGAAGTCCTGATCTGAGGAGGTGCACAAGCCATTCCATCAGATACCCGTCTCCGATGAATTATATTAAGACCCATACAACTTGGCTGATCTTTGATTTAGTCTCTAGTAAATCACTTTATCCACTTTGATTCCCTCTAAAATATCAGCCCAAGCCCAAAGAGCAAAGGTCATTGTTACACACCAGGAATGAGATGCTAGAGGAAACACGGGGGATGGGTAATACGGACAAGATCATTTCACGATTACCTGTTCTGTTCAGTTGCTGTGAAGCTCCTAGCGTTGACCTCCATCAGAAAGCAGGATGGTCAATCCAGCAAAGAACTTCTTACCTTCTCATTGTGAGAGCCATTCATTGCTCTTTCTTAGGCATGTTTTTATATAACCTATCTGTGATGGATTCCCCTGGATGCTAGCTGGAACTGGAGTCCCAGTGAACCCTCTGACCCAGCAGCCTGGGCTGCTATACACCTATACTACCTCCGGCATTCACATAGGCAAGGACACAGCCAGATGTGGGTACAAGCGGCTCTCTGACCAGCCTCTGCATGAACTGAGGGAATTGGTAAATGTCATTGAGGAGCCTTTGGTCAATATCTTAGAAAACTTGTGGACATCGGGAGAGATCCTGGATGTTTGGAAAAAGGCAAATGTAGTGCCCATTTTTAAGAAAGGGAAGAAGGAAAATCCACAGTATTCTTGCCAACAAGTTAAATGAGTATGGATTGGATAAATGGACTGCAAGGTGGACAGAAAACTGGCTAGATTGTTGGACCCAACAGATAGTGATAACCAGCTCTGTGTCAGGTTGGCGGTCGGTTTCTAGAAGAGTGCCCCAAAGATCAGTTCTAGGGCCAGTTTTCTTCAACATCTTTATTAGTGACCCGGAGGAGGGGATGGATTGCACCCTCAGCAAGTGTACGGAAGACATGAAGCTAGGGGGAGAGGGCGATATGCTGGAGGGCAGGGAGAGGGTCCAGAGTGACTTAGACAAATGGGGGGACTGGGCCACAAGAAATCTGATGAGGTTCAACAAGGACAAGTTCAAGTCCTGCAGTTGGGATGGAAGAATCTCAAGCATTATTACAGGCTGGGGGCCGACTGCCTAAGTAGCAGTTCTGCAGTAAAGGACGTGGGGATGACAATGGATGAGAAGTTGGATATGAGTCAAGAGGGGTCCCTTGTAGTGCAGAAGGCTAATTGCATATTAGGGTGCATTCGAAAGAGCATCTCCAGTAGGTCTAGAGAAGTGATGATTCCCCTTTATTCAGCACTGGTGAGGCCACATCTGGAGTATTGGGTCCAGTTCTGTGATCCCCACTACAGAAAGGACGTGGACGCATTGGAGAGGGTCCAGCGGAGGGTGACCAAAATGATTTGGGGGCTGGAGCGCATGACCTATGAGGAGAGGCTGAAGGATCGGGGCTTATTTAGTCTGCAGAAGAGAAGAGTGAGGGGGGATTTGAGAGCAGTCTTCAACTTCCACAAGGAGGGTTCCAAAGAGTATGGAAAGTGGATGTCCTGCGTCAGACAATCCAGGCATCATTTTTCACCTAATTTTCAGAGGCATAATTGAAAACAGAAAGCCCTAATCAGTGGACTAGGAATGTCATAGGTGCCAGTGGGAATGTAAGAGACGGACAATCGTTCAACCTCCTTGTGGAATCAGGATGCTAATGTTCATGCATGAAGCAAAATTGTTTTCCTGAAATTTTGTGCCTGCAAATGAGCCCATAAACTGTTCATAAAGAATGTCTCCAACATTATCAAATTTTGTATACACGATTGTGTATAAATAGTGAATTCCAGGAAGGAAGGAAGGAGGGAAAGAAGGAAGGAAGGAAAGACATACACGCACACACTAACTGGTTATGTTTAAGGCCAGTTCTGGGGGAAAAAGTCAACTTCTTAAGACTTTTCTTCACACAGCACACAGTCAACCTGTGGAACTCCTTGCCAAAGGAGGTTGTGAAGACCAGGATGGTAACAGGATACAAAAAAGAGCTCGGTAAATTCATGGAGGTGAGGTCCATGAATGGCTATGAGCCAGGATGGGTAGGAATGGTGTCCCTAGCCTCTATTTGTCTGTAAACGGCTAATAGGGGAGGGATCACGTGAGGATTCCCTGTTTTTGTTCACTCCCTCTGGGATATCTGTCATTGGCCGCTGTTGGCAGAGAAGACACTGGGCTAGATGGACCTTTGGTCTGACCTAGTATGGCCATTATGTGAAATACAACCTAGAATATCATTGGTGGAAGTAATGTACCCTGAGTCACATTTTTCTGGCAATCCTATTGTAGAAGGTCAATAGGAGAAACTCTGCCATCAACTTCCCTTACTCCTCACAGTCCGGTGGACCAGTGTTGATGGGGAAACCAACAGTGTTCAATTTCGTGGGTGCGGGTAAATATAGACAACACTTAAAAACAAGATATGTTCATTGCCAATATATCATGGGCTAAAATTTGTCCTTTCAGATTTTCTGCCCGTTTCTGAGAGCAACCAATTTATGGAAAGCTTTTCTCAGGGACTTGTTGACCTCCTTGTTTCGCAGGCAGTAGATGATGGGATAGGCCAGCGGACTCATTACTGTACAGAAGATGGAGAATATTTTTTTGGGTACCTTGGCATTGTTGACTATTGGCACTACATAGACATTGATGCCCATCATATAGTCAAGGGTAACCACGAGGAGGTGGGAGGAGCAGGTGGAAAAGGCCTTTTTCTTCCCGGTGGTGGACGGGATTCTGAGGATGGTAGCGACGATGCACACGTAGGACGCCAGGGTCAGCAGAAATGGCCCAAGTGTCCCCAGAGCTCCGCATACAAATGCCACCTTTTGCAGAATCTTGGTGTCACTACAGGACAGCTTTAGAAGGGATGTGAACTCACAGAAGAAATGGTCAATTTCATTGGCATCGCAGAACGTTAATTGGAACTGGAAATTATGCACTATGGTACAGATCACAAAGCTGATTATCCAGGAAGCTGCCACCAGCAAGCAACCCACCTGGCTGTTCATCAGGGCGGTATAACGGAGGGGCTGGCAGATCGCTACGTACCGGTCATAGGACATGGCCGTGAGCAGTACATTTTCTGTAGTGGACAGGACACCAAAGAAATACAATTGCACCAGGCAGCTGTTAACAGAGATGGTCCTGTCCCCCGTCAGGAGACTGGCCAGCAGCCGGGGCAGGATGGTGGAGGAGAAGCAGAGCTCCACACAGGCCAAGTTCTGCAGTAGGAAGTACATGGGAGTGTGCAGCTGCCGATCAGTCAGAACTAGGACAAAGATGAGGATGTTGCCAGCCACAGTCGCAAGGTAGATCATTAGAAACACGAGGAAGAGAAGGGGCTGCAGTTCAGGGTCATTCCCAAATCCTAAGAGGAGGAATTTGGAAACAGGCGTTTGGTTTCTTCCTTCCACTTTCTCCATCGTAGGCGTCTAGAAATATAAACCATGAAATATAGAAGGAGTTCACACAGCCAGCTTCTGCAATGGATCCAACTGGCAGAGATCTGGAGTAGTTAACCTATTACCACCGCATGTCTCCACTAGAACAATGAAGTCCTCAATTAACAGTGGAAGTCTCTCAGGGGGTGTCTACACAGCAAAGTTATTTTGGAATAACAGCTATTATTCCAAAATAGCTATGTGAGCGTCTACACAGCCATTCCGTTATTTTGAACTAATTTTGAAATAACGGATGGATTATTCCGACTTCTGTAAACCTCATCATATATATAGTAGTCCAATGTCTGTGACTCTCTAACGCTGAAATGCTGGCTGTTGCCTCTGGGCGGTGCTGTAGCCTGAGTCACGTCCTTCGCTTCCCGCCGTGGTGATCGGCTGACTTCTGTGCTGCTCAGCCAGGCCATCACGTGGAAGCGAGTGGCGCAAGCGACCGTTTGAGTGCCGCGGTCCCCCGAGTGAGAGGCAGGAGGGGGAGGAGAAGAGAATAAGAGAATCGGAGAGAGAGGCAGGAGGTGGAGGAGAGCTGAGAGAGGGGGGGGAGGCAGTAGGAGAAGGAAAGAGAGAGAGACGTGGAGGAGAGACCTGAAAATCCTGTCTTATGATGGGCTAATTGGCTAGTTCTATGACGAATTACACCTATTCCAAAAGAACTATTTTGAAAAAAGACGTGTGTAGACACTTCACTGCTGCTATTTCAAAATAGTCCCTCACCAGGGCCATTCTAAGTTATTCCCCGTGGGTCTCTAAATCGAGATAGCACATCTACATTAGGGAAGCCTGCCTCGGTTTGAGGTTTCCCTGCAGTGCAGATATGCTATTTAGAAATAAGCTATTTTGGAATAACTATTCCGGAACAGTTTATTCTGAATTAACGGTGCACTGTAGACATAGCCATAGATTTCCCAAGCAGCCAACACACACACACACGCACACACACACACACACACACACACACACACATATACACTGCCTCCCAGGGTGTCATACATACACACACATACTGGGTCTCACACTGACACAAACACACACACCAAATTCTCTTCCAAATTCACCTCCAACTACATTCTTCCTTGTTTCTGTGACTTCCTGATAGGTGCCTCTATTCTATGTAATTTTGTTCTTTCAAAGTTCAGTGATAGGTGGTTTTGGACGGCTCGATGCCTTTCCAAATTGTACTTCTCGATCACGCTTACAATGAATTCTTCGAGGAGTGAGTTCTAAAAGGCCTAACATGTTCTTCTATCCCCTCCAGTAAATTTTAAAACTTATATCACATTACCTTGATAATCCTGTATAATAATAATACAATTAAGTAATGATTGTGCAATTAAATTAAAGTAACTAAATCAAATACAATTAAATAATTATGCAATAGCAACAATCGTGCAGTTAAAGGGGTTATTGACAGTATGCTGGGAATGTTGAATGGGAAAGGTGAAGGTCAATTTATGTATTTTAAAATGTGAATATATTCCGACTCAGTTTATTCTGAGAGTGGGAGGGGACACACACCTGTTAATCCACACTAGACATAGAGAAAATCATTTTTGCCTTTGCCCCATATGGGGTTTGAGACAGAACCCCATTGACTTCACAGTAATGGCATGAGAGTTTCCTTTAGCTGCAAAGAATTTTGTTTCTGGCTCATGATTATCAGCTCCACCATGTCGGAGCGTGCGAGCCTTAGTCAGATCAATAATGGTTGGGACCCTCTTTTCTCTCCTTACGGGATGAAATGTTATCCAGTAGGGAATTGGGGGGTGATGGGAAGTTGACTTGTGGAGAAGTCCTGATCTGAGGAGGTGCACAAGCCATTCCATCAGATACCCGTCTCCGATGAATTATATTAAGACCCATACAACTTGGCTGATCTTTGATTTAGTCTCTAGTAAATCACTTTATCCACTTTGATTCCCTCTAAAATATCAGCCCAAGCCCAAAGAGCAAAGGTCATTGTTACACACCAGGAATGAGATGCTAGAGGAAACACGGGGGATGGGTAATACGGACAAGATCATTTCACGATTACCTGTTCTGTTCAGTTGCTGTGAAGCTCCTAGCGTTGACCTCCATCAGAAAGCAGGATGGTCAATCCAGCAAAGAACTTCTTACCTTCTCATTGTGAGAGCCATTCATTGCTCTTTCTTAGGCATGTTTTTATATAACCTATCTGTGATGGATTCCCCTGGATGCTAGCTGGAACTGGAGTCCCAGTGAACCCTCTGACCCAGCAGCCTGGGCTGCTATACACCTATACTACCTCCGGCATTCACATAGGCAAGGACACAGCCAGATGTGGGTACAAGCGGCTCTCTGACCAGCCTCTGCATGAACTGAGGGAATTGGTAAATGTCATTGAGGAGCCTTTGGTCAATATCTTAGAAAACTTGTGGACATCGGGAGAGATCCTGGATGTTTGGAAAAAGGCAAATGTAGTGCCCATTTTTAAGAAAGGGAAGAAGGAAAATCCACAGTATTCTTGCCAACAAGTTAAATGAGTATGGATTGGATAAATGGACTGCAAGGTGGACAGAAAACTGGCTAGATTGTTGGACCCAACAGATAGTGATAACCAGCTCTGTGTCAGGTTGGCGGTCGGTTTCTAGAAGAGTGCCCCAAAGATCAGTTCTAGGGCCAGTTTTCTTCAACATCTTTATTAGTGACCCGGAGGAGGGGATGGATTGCACCCTCAGCAAGTGTACGGAAGACATGAAGCTAGGGGGAGAGGGCGATATGCTGGAGGGCAGGGAGAGGGTCCAGAGTGACTTAGACAAATGGGGGGACTGGGCCACAAGAAATCTGATGAGGTTCAACAAGGACAAGTTCAAGTCCTGCAGTTGGGATGGAAGAATCTCAAGCATTATTACAGGCTGGGGGCCGACTGCCTAAGTAGCAGTTCTGCAGTAAAGGACGTGGGGATGACAATGGATGAGAAGTTGGATATGAGTCAAGAGGGGTCCCTTGTAGTGCAGAAGGCTAATTGCATATTAGGGTGCATTCGAAAGAGCATCTCCAGTAGGTCTAGAGAAGTGATGATTCCCCTTTATTCAGCACTGGTGAGGCCACATCTGGAGTATTGGGTCCAGTTCTGTGATCCCCACTACAGAAAGGACGTGGACGCATTGGAGAGGGTCCAGCGGAGGGTGACCAAAATGATTTGGGGGCTGGAGCGCATGACCTATGAGGAGAGGCTGAAGGATCGGGGCTTATTTAGTCTGCAGAAGAGAAGAGTGAGGGGGGATTTGAGAGCAGTCTTCAACTTCCACAAGGAGGGTTCCAAAGAGTATGGAAAGTGGATGTTAACAGTAGTGACAGATGGCAGAATGAGGAGCAATGGTCTCAAGTTGCAGCGGGGAAGGTCTAGGTTGGACATTAGGAAAAACTATTTCCCTAGGAAGATGGTGAAGTACTGGAATGGGGTTCCCTAGGGAATGTCCCGGCTTGAGAAAGCCCTGGCTGGGATGATTGAGTTGGGTTGGTCCTGCTTTGGGCGGGGGCTGGACTCAATGACTCCTGAGGTCTCTGCCAGCCCTGGGATTCTATAATTCTATGAACCAACAAAAGAGAAGCTACAGTAGTGATCAACAGCAGCTCCACAGTTCGGGTCAGAAGTACTATACCAGCCAGCCCCAATCAGTAGGATTTTGTTACTTGGCTCACCCCTCCCTCAATGTGGAGAGGAGCTCGCACACTCATGCTAACTAAGCTGAGCTCTTTCCCCAGACCCCTCACTAAAGACACACGGGTTTAGGAACAACTACAAACAAGATTAATAACTAGAAAAGACAAATGTGAGGTGATGATAAGGATTAGTAAGCAGATCTGAGCCGACTATCCGAAAATACACACAAAGGCAAACAGAGCACAATGCTCCGGTTAGACTGACAATGCATGAGCCATTCCTCACCCTGACTGGCGGTACCAACAAACTGAGAAGTTCTCCAGGCGCACGCTGTTTGGGTTTCTCAGGTGAACATTCTCAGGCTAGAAATCGTTTAGCCTGGGTCCGGCACGTCACCTAGTTTGGTCTTTGTTTTTCAGGTCTTTGGAGGAGAGCTCTTGTGTGGGGCATGAAGAAGAACCAATGAGATCACTCCCTGCCTTATATAGCCTTAGGATTTGGTTCCCAGACAATTGTGTGGAAAAATACGGACATCCCAAGATAGAGTCCGGAGACACGGAGTCTGGTCATCTGCCCTTGGAGAGTCCTAGCAACCATTAATTACAGGTTCTCTGGAGTTTTCCCAGTTCCCAAGAGGTTTTACCAGATGGGAAATAATCTTTTCCTAAGGACTATTGGTTTCCCTAGTGGCTCATTACCATGAATACGACTTTCATAAACAGCTACCTGGACTACAAAGCGTCTTGCCTACTGGGAGTTCATCAGGTTTAGCTGCATTTGAAATTTCAATACGTGGTCAATAGTCATACCTATCTAGAGATAAAAATGATGCATGCATAAAAATAGGAGAATCGTATGTAGCGACTCATAACTTTTGCAGAAATACCTCCAATGATCCATCCTACACAAAGAGCTTCAGCATTATTCTGTAATCATGTCATAATAATATGACTCTATAGAATATGTTTCAGTGTCACCTGGATGGAACTAGTAATCACAATCTTTCTGTCATGGTGCCTGGCTACATGTGAACTTTTTGGGATTGTTGTAAACTTGTGTTGCTTCACCTTGCACAATGGTGACCTATTGACAGCTCCACCTGGATTCTAAACCTTTTTTCAATTTTCTGAGATATACTTTACTCTTTCCATTATATTATGCATTTGCTTCTACCATTGACAATCTCCAGTAATCTCAGTCAACTGAGTTTTGAAATCCCTCTTGGATATCTGGATCCTGCAACACTTCATGGTTTATTGTGATTTTCATCCCTTTCACAGAAATCAATGTTTTATTAGTCTTTAGGGTGCTGCTAGACTATTTGTTGTTTTTTAAGTTT